TTCTTTATACAATATTATTTCTATTCTTTATATTTAACTTCTAATAAAAATAATGACATCATAAGTCTTGATAGAAAAATATTGGTATAATTGATCGATACTAATTTGTCGTGTAATTTGATTTTTTTGAATAAAAATAACGAATAGAGAAGTATTTTATAACAAAAATAAATTTAACTTAGGCGTTTGAGGCAAAATATAGAACAGTGAGTAAAATTGTCTAATAACTCATTCAATATAAAACTATTTTCATATTCGATTAAATACTGTTTATCAAAGTATTAAGTGCATGGAAACTAGGATAAATATGATTTTCTTCATTCCACGTGTAATTTGGACGTCAGTTAATAACTAATCTGTAATACGGCAATATATTCTCTGATAGTGAGAAAATTTGTTATTTTTTAACTATATTTTATGATTAATATAAATTATATTACAGCCATCAAAGCTATTGCATATATTCAGAAGTTCAGTTTTTTTAATGATTCTAATCATATCAAGACCAGACAGCAGTGGACAATATGATTCATCGATCGAGAGATCGTTCGACTTTAAAGAAAAATGCTTTACCCCACACAAAGTCACGTAGAACAAGGAGAAATAGAAAAATTAACATATAGGTATACATATATATATGTTACGGTCAAAATTGGAATTCGGTCAAATTCTAAATTTGTTCGAAGTTCGAATCAAATCGGAATTCTAATTTTGACCAGACAAAATCAGAATTTTATTTTCATAAACTGTAAAACTGAGAAAAAAAAACAGCAATAAGAATACGAGTGGAATCAGAAATGATGACGAAGACGAGAGACAGATCTGAGTAAGAGTGAGGAGGTCTGGGTCTATATTCCGAGGTTGCGAGTGAAATTAGAGGGGATAATCGAGTAAAGCTTTAGACTTACTCAAAAATTCATCCTTACTAAGAGATTTTTCACCCTCACCAAGGCTATCCGCGGCACTCTCATCATCATCCGTGACCTCATTCGTGGTTTGGTATTGGTTTTTGCTTAGTTTTATAATTCATCAAAACAAAATTCTAATTTTGTCCGGTCAAAATTAGAATTCCAATTTTGTTCGGACAAATTTACAATTTGACCAGATTGCAATTTTGACCGTAACCTATATATACATGTATCGATGACTCATCGTTCTTCTACGTATATTCCATTTCTCCTTATCTATTATCAGTTTCTTCTAGAGAAGAGGGGAATCGTTTATACATTTCTCCTCGAAACTTTTCCATTTCTGCTGGATATAATCCATTTCTGCTAGAACGTCTCCTTAGAATGAAAAAGGATCTTATTCATTTCTGCTTATCTATTATCAGTTTCTTCTGAAGAAGAGGGAAAGGGTTTATATATTTCTCCTAGCAACGTTTCCATTTCTGCTATACTGTTTTTCCCTGTTTAGTTGTTAGGTTTGATACTGGGATGTTTTTCTATCTTTAAAGCACTTCTGCTTGACTTTGTATGGGGTGAAACCTTTCTGCTTGAATGGGAACGATTTCTCGATTTTGAGGGATATCGTTCAGCCCTCAGACCAGATTTTTAATTTTTCGCGTAATTTATACTTATTCATAAATAATCAATGACATTCATCTTTCTTATCAACGACCAATTCAATGAAAAAGAAAAGCAAATATTTGTTAAATATATATGTGTTCGAACGCATTCATATAATCGATTTAATCACAATAGTTCGAGAACACCTTCATTTGATTACTCAAGATTTGTCATACCAAGTAAATCTCACAATTTTGTATCGTGTCTATCTTATTTGTCGTAATGGCAGATGAGAAAAAAACATAATGGTATTACTTGGTGGCTCCCCTCACTACTTGTATTTGAATAATAAAAAGCAAAAATACTAAATATAATTCATGAGAAAAAGAAAAAAGAAAATAAAAGGATTTTTCGGACAGGATCACTATCGTATGTTTTATTGTTTTATTGACTGTTAATAGATTTGAAGTGAGTAAGAATAAAATAAGCTAGAAGATTTAAGAATTGACAAAAAAATACTTTATACAATATACAACAAAGATATGATGGTTTCTTATACGATAAAATATATGTTACATCGATTATTTCTGTTACTCTACGTAGTAACGTTCACTTCGAGTGAAATAGAATTCATAGCTGTTCGTTTTCCATTAAAGGTAATCGATTTTCCTCATCAGCATATCTATCTAATACTCATACGTAAAAATTGAACTTCTTTACATATCCTCTCAAAATGAGAATATTGCTTTTGTCAATAAACTGAAACGTATCTATGCATGAGCTAAACATAGATTAAAATATTTCGAAAAAACTTTCAGGGAGAACGTTCACCACCAAATGCAGTATGGCCACATCCACAACAAATCAATGCTTCCAACGAATTACTCTATATTCGTCCGCATGCTATTATGATTCATTCTAATATTCAGACATGTGATATTATTACAAAAGCTATTCAACGATATGAGCCAATTTTCTTTCCACCAAAACTTTCAATGCGTGACCCACCATCCGGTGTAAATAACATTCTACAAAATCTAACACTCAATATACGTGATAATCCTCAATGTGAACAATATATTCAACACGATTCAAATGAAACTTGTATGTAAAATATTATAACCTAGGAAATTATAGCAGGCACTCAAAAATTTTTTCGGTAGTTTTTTAGACAATTAATCAAAGACTATTTTTAGCATTGTTTTCTAAAGTATTGACCCTCATGAACCATGTACGTGAGCATTTTATTGTTTTGGCAAGTACAGAATTGTATTGAAGTGCTTGAGTACTGTTCAAAATATTTGAGATCTCAGTTTTCAGAAAGGCAAGAAGTCACCTGTGTTTAAATCTCGAAAATATGTCCGATTTGGATATGATTCCATAAAGTCTTCTGTTAAAAATCCATTCGTATCCAACTCTTTTAACAGCTTTCCATTTTCAAAGTGAAAACTTGCAGTAGGCAGTTATTGACAACTTAACTTCAGCTTGTTAGAATCTACCAATGGAAGATGATCAAAATAAGGAGCTGCATATTCAATGCTGACATTATTCTGTTGAAATGCATAAAAAATGGATTAGTATACATATATAGAACTGAGTGTACTAATAGAATAATTGCACTTAAAATACGACTTTTAGAAGAGTGAGAGGAAAAACTTTTTAGCATGCTTTATGTATGTCATTTGATTATTTCTCATTCATATTTAGATACTTTAACCATCAATCTTCAAATGGCGATTGTTGAAGCTAGTAGTGTTTGGGGTTTATTACGTGGTCTCGAAACATTTTCACAACTTATCTATATTAATGAACAAAATTATGTATGTTCACTTTCAATACATCATTCATTTTATGTATTTATTGTTGTTCTTTATCTAAATATTTCTTTCCTAGGTTGTTATCAATAATTCTGTAACTATTATTGATAGTCCTCGTTTTCAACATCGTGGTGTTATGCTTGATACAGCGCGACATTTTTTACCTGTACCAATTATTAAAAAGAATCTTGTAAGTCGATGAAATGAAAATCATTCTTTAGACTAGTTTCTCTCAATGTCATTATAGGATGCAATGGCCTATAATAAATTAAATGTATTTCATTGGCATATTGTAGATGATCAATCATTTCCATTTGAAAGTATAACTTTTCCAGATCTATCTCGAGCAGTAACTCAATAATAACATTTTGTATGTTAAGTCTAAAATGAGGATATTTATAGGGTGCTTTTTCACCTTATCATGTATATACACCAGCAGATGTCATTGATGTGATTGAACATGCTCGATTACGTGGAATTCGTGTCATTCCTGAGGTTTGTCAATTGTAAATAATTTTTGAAATTTTTAGTCTTTTTTTTTTGAAAATGCTAGATTGATACACCTGGTCATACCTATTCATGGGGTAAATCAATGCCACAATTAATAACTGTATGTTGGGCAAATGGAAAACCTTATCAAGCAATTTATGGAACACAAGGTGAAATGGAAATATTTAATCCAATTGAGCCACGTGTTTATTCAACAATGGATTCTTTACTTCGAGAAGTAAAAAGTAGATTTCCTTCCAATTATATTCATCTTGGTAAGTGAATCGATCATTAACTGAGAATACAAGTCTTTAGTTTTTATCGAAAATATTTTAAGGTATGGATGAAGTATATGATAGATGTTGGTAAGTTATTATTGAATGTTAAGAAAAACCCTCGGATGAACATTATCGATTTTGTTTAGGCTTTCCAATCCAAATATTACTCAATGGATGATTGTTAACAACATTTCTTCTGCAAGAGGTCTTCATGCATATTATGCAGATAAAATTTTAGATATTACACGTAATATCAATGTTGTACCTATTGTTTGGCAAGATGTTTGGGATGAAAAAGTTCAAGTAAGATCTTTTTGATAACGATAATCAATCTATAATGACTATTAATTACAGTTACCACCTGACACTATCATACAAGTATGGAAAGATACTAGTGATAGTAGTGCATTTGATGGATGGGCATCGTATTTAAATCAAGCTGCTAATGAAGGTTACAATGTAATACTTTCAAGTCCTTGGTATATTAATTATATTAGTTATGGCAAGTATAATACAAATACATCTGTTATGAACTTAGAATTTTTTAAATACTATGAAATTGAACCACTCCGTCAATTTACTGGTAAAATCATTATTGAATATTTAGTTCAATTGTTTATGTGTTGATATCATAGGTTCGGAAGAAGCAAAAAAACGTATCCTTGGTGGAGAAGCTTGTTTATGGGCTGAATTTGTTGATGGTACTAATTTATTACCACGTTTTTGGCCAAAAGCATCTGCTGTAGCTGAACGATTGTGGAGTGCTGCAAGTGTTAATAACTCTGAAGATGCTCAATTTCGATTGGTAAATTTTTACTTTTACAATTATCTATAGTGATCTTTTTTTCTGTGTAATTTTTAGGATGTTCATCGATGTCGTCTTTTGAGGTTAATATAGTAATTACTTGAAAATAAATTAAGTTGTTTTTTCTTTTAGACGAGGGATACCAGCTCAACCGATCTTGACTGGATATTGTGGAAATTATGAATTAGGTATGCCAGAATCGATGATCAACGATCCAGCATTCAATTATGAAACTTCTACTACGATTAATTCGACCGCAATATCAACACAAAGTTCAACAGATTCGCCATTTGGTACAACTGGAATATTCAATGTTAAACTTTATCATGTTCTTTATACAATATTATTTCTATTCTTTATATTTAACTTCTAATAAAAATAATGACATCATAAGTCTTGATAGAAAAATATTGGTATAATTGATCGATACTAATTTGTCGTGTAATTTGATTTTTTTGAATAAAAATAACGAATAGAGAAGTATTTTATAACAAAAATAAATTTAACTTAGGCGTTTGAGGCAAAATATAGAACAGTGAGTAAAATTGTCTAATAACTCATTCAATATAAAACTATTTTCATATTCGATTAAATACTGTTTATCAAAGTATTAAGTGCATGGAAACTAGGATAAATATGATTTTCTTCATTCCACGTGTAATTTGGACGTCAGTTAATAACTAATCTGTAATACGGCAATATATTCTCTGATAGTGAGAAAATTTGTTATTTTTTAACTATATTTTATGATTAATATAAATTATATTACAGCCATCAAAGCTATTGCATATATTCAGAAGTTCAGTTTTTTTAATGATTCTAATCATATCAAGACCAGACAGCAGTGGACAATATGATTCATCGATCGAGAGATCGTTCGACTTTAAAGAAAAATGCTTTACCCCACACAAAGTCACGTAGAACAAGGAGAAATAGAAAAATTAACATATAGGTATACATATATATATGTTACGGTCAAAATTGGAATTCGGTCAAATTCTAAATTTGTTCGAAGTTCGAATCAAATCGGAATTCTAATTTTGACCAGACAAAATCAGAATTTTATTTTCATAAACTGTAAAACTGAGAAAAAAAAACAGCAATAAGAATACGAGTGGAATCAGAAATGATGACGAAGACGAGAGACAGATCTGAGTAAGAGTGAGGAGGTCTGGGTCTATATTCCGAGGTTGCGAGTGAAATTAGAGGGGATAATCGAGTAAAGCTTTAGACTTACTCAAAAATTCATCCTTACTAAGAGATTTTTCACCCTCACCAAGGCTATCCGCGGCACTCTCATCATCATCCGTGACCTCATTCGTGGTTTGGTATTGGTTTTTGCTTAGTTTTATAATTCATCAAAACAAAATTCTAATTTTGTCCGGTCAAAATTAGAATTCCAATTTTGTTCGGACAAATTTACAATTTGACCAGATTGCAATTTTGACCGTAACCTATATATACATGTATCGATGACTCATCGTTCTTCTACGTATATTCCATTTCTCCTTATCTATTATCAGTTTCTTCTAGAGAAGAGGGGAATCGTTTATACATTTCTCCTCGAAACTTTTCCATTTCTGCTGGATATAATCCATTTCTGCTAGAACGTCTCCTTAGAATGAAAAAGGATCTTATTCATTTCTGCTTATCTATTATCAGTTTCTTCTGAAGAAGAGGGAAAGGGTTTATATATTTCTCCTAGCAACGTTTCCATTTCTGCTATACTGTTTTTCCCTGTTTAGTTGTTAGGTTTGATACTGGGATGTTTTTCTATCTTTAAAGCACTTCTGCTTGACTTTGTATGGGGTGAAACCTTTCTGCTTGAATGGGAACGATTTCTCGATTTTGAGGGATATCGTTCAGCCCTCAGACCAGATTTTTAATTTTTCGCGTAATTTATACTTATTCATAAATAATCAATGACATTCATCTTTCTTATCAACGACCAATTCAATGAAAAAGAAAAGCAAATATTTGTTAAATATATATGTGTTCGAACGCATTCATATAATCGATTTAATCACAATAGTTCGAGAACACCTTCATTTGATTACTCAAGATTTGTCATACCAAGTAAATCTCACAATTTTGTATCGTGTCTATCTTATTTGTCGTAATGGCAGATGAGAAAAAAACATAATGGTATTACTTGGTGGCTCCCCTCACTACTTGTATTTGAATAATAAAAAGCAAAAATACTAAATATAATTCATGAGAAAAAGAAAAAAGAAAATAAAAGGATTTTTCGGACAGGATCACTATCGTATGTTTTATTGTTTTATTGACTGTTAATAGATTTGAAGTGAGTAAGAATAAAATAAGCTAGAAGATTTAAGAATTGACAAAAAAATACTTTATACAATATACAACAAAGATATGATGGTTTCTTATACGATAAAATATATGTTACATCGATTATTTCTGTTACTCTACGTAGTAACGTTCACTTCGAGTGAAATAGAATTCATAGCTGTTCGTTTTCCATTAAAGGTAATCGATTTTCCTCATCAGCATATCTATCTAATACTCATACGTAAAAATTGAACTTCTTTACATATCCTCTCAAAATGAGAATATTGCTTTTGTCAATAAACTGAAACGTATCTATGCATGAGCTAAACATAGATTAAAATATTTCGAAAAAACTTTCAGGGAGAACGTTCACCACCAAATGCAGTATGGCCACATCCACAACAAATCAATGCTTCCAACGAATTACTCTATATTCGTCCGCATGCTATTATGATTCATTCTAATATTCAGACATGTGATATTATTACAAAAGCTATTCAACGATATGAGCCAATTTTCTTTCCACCAAAACTTTCAATGCGTGACCCACCATCCGGTGTAAATAACATTCTACAAAATCTAACACTCAATATACGTGATAATCCTCAATGTGAACAATATATTCAACACGATTCAAATGAAACTTGTATGTAAAATATTATAACCTAGGAAATTATAGCAGGCACTCAAAAATTTTTTCGGTAGTTTTTTAGACAATTAATCAAAGACTATTTTTAGCATTGTTTTCTAAAGTATTGACCCTCATGAACCATGTACGTGAGCATTTTATTGTTTTGGCAAGTACAGAATTGTATTGAAGTGCTTGAGTACTGTTCAAAATATTTGAGATCTCAGTTTTCAGAAAGGCAAGAAGTCACCTGTGTTTAAATCTCGAAAATATGTCCGATTTGGATATGATTCCATAAAGTCTTCTGTTAAAAATCCATTCGTATCCAACTCTTTTAACAGCTTTCCATTTTCAAAGTGAAAACTTGCAGTAGGCAGTTATTGACAACTTAACTTCAGCTTGTTAGAATCTACCAATGGAAGATGATCAAAATAAGGAGCTGCATATTCAATGCTGACATTATTCTGTTGAAATGCATAAAAAATGGATTAGTATACATATATAGAACTGAGTGTACTAATAGAATAATTGCACTTAAAATACGACTTTTAGAAGAGTGAGAGGAAAAACTTTTTAGCATGCTTTATGTATGTCATTTGATTATTTCTCATTCATATTTAGATACTTTAACCATCAATCTTCAAATGGCGATTGTTGAAGCTAGTAGTGTTTGGGGTTTATTACGTGGTCTCGAAACATTTTCACAACTTATCTATATTAATGAACAAAATTATGTATGTTCACTTTCAATACATCATTCATTTTATGTATTTATTGTTGTTCTTTATCTAAATATTTCTTTCCTAGGTTGTTATCAATAATTCTGTAACTATTATTGATAGTCC